TATCTCATAATCTATGGTTGCAAACTCACCTTATCCCAGGATGAAAAAGCAGGGATGTGAGGGAAGAACCAATGCAACTTTATGCCCTAAGATAATTTTCATACCTACTGATTTTCCAAACGTTTTTATAAGGATGTCTCAGTGTCAGGTGCTGAGCAGCTTGGGCAAGGAGTAGCTGAGTGGGCATGCTGGGGATGTTTGTATTCCCCACTCACTCATCCCAGCAGGCAAATTCTGCCTTGGCATTTGGTATTACAGGAGAAAGGAGGTTTGGGGGAAGCAACTGTAGCCTGTTATATGAACTCTTTCTACCTTCTTTGAATGTTCTTGTTTGACTTTCCCTACACATGTAAATCTGGAAATGTAAATTAGTATTTTCAAAATGTTCCCTACACATGTAAATCTGGAAATGTAAATTAGTATTTTCAAAATGCTCACAGATTTAATAACTTGTTTGAGTAGGCATTGGATGGAGCAAAGCAGAGTGTGCATTGGAAAGTCACATGAAATGAACTTGGAATAGTAGGGAGAAGCCAGATTAAGGTGGACATTGGCATCTAAACCAGGATATTTGAATGTGTTTTTAAACGTCAATGTTCCCAAAGGCTGGCAAGGGTATTAGGGTTTTCCAAAAAACAGAACCAATAGGCAATAGGACATGTGTGTAGTACACACACACACACACACACACACACACATGCACACACAGAAGTAGAGAGAAAGTGAGAGGGGCAGAGACAGAGGAGTGGGAGCGGGGATTTATTCATAGGGCTCTGGCGTTTCCATACTTCAATGCTAAGAGCATGGGAAAGGAATTCAGATCAGTTTAGTAAGTACCTTGTGTTAATCTAGCTCAAGGTTGCATTTCACTTAATGGCTTGAGAGAGCCATTCGAATCCTGTGATTCTAGTAATAAAAGTTCCAATGGGGAAGATAGATGAATGCTCCTGTAATGTTTAGCCTATTAAAATGGCCATATGCAAAGCTTAAGCAGAATAAATTCTTACTCTGAATAAGGGCATCAACATGGAATAAACATGATAACATAGGAGAGCTAAAGCAAGTCTGGGAGTGTCATTTCTCTCTCCAAATTAAGTCCCACGATCATAGTGGATATTTGTTAAAGCCCCCTCTAATGGAGGGAAGTATCTCCCCAAAGTCTCTCTATGTGCTTCTAGAATGCTGACTCACCCCAGGGTTTATAATGGAGCATGAATATTAGACAAGAGTTTCTCAAACTTTCTGAGGTGAAGGACAAGTTTGCTTCCTCTTGCACACCCCCCATCCACTGTGGAATGACACTGTGGAAATTACAATCAAAATAAATCATTAGCAAAATGACACACAAAACAAAAACATACAAAATACAAGTCTCAATTTTGTTATTATTAGATTTAACTACTTTGTCAAATGGTAATAAATGTTTCCTTTTAACCATCTTCAATTTCTATACTTAAACTGTTGCAGATGATAAGAAAAATGTGAAAACAGACATTGGTCCATGAACCACACTTTGAATAGCAGTGACATAGACTTGGCTAATAGTAATCTCTGATTCCAAGTAATTGTTTCAAGTGTGTTCTTATGACTGAGCTAGTCCCAATTCAGTGGAATACTGGGACTTTAGTTGAGAACACTGGGACAAGAATTCTGCTTTTCCTGTCAGGATGCCACCTTGGGACCATAAACAGAGTGGATTGGGAATGAGTCAACACTGAGGAAGCAGAAACAAGGGATGGTGAGCCAGAGCTCAATCTACTCTATTGTGGAGAAATATATGCCAATAAAGCATAATATTGGCTGAAGCCAGAATTCATCTGGTTTTCTATCATCTCCAAGATAAAGAATCTTATGTGACATAGTGATTAATTTGTATATTTCTCCATGAGCTTGCAACCATCTTTTCTTTTGCCAGTCGTCTTCCAAAACAGAGATCTGGGTATGCCTTTCTTCTGGCTGTGAAACATTAGCTTCCCACTGCCCTCAGTATAAAGTTCAAATCAAGCTTCTTAAACTGTCAGTCAATGTTTTTCACCACTGAGTCCCCTTCTATTTTTCATCCCAATTTTTTGCTGCTCTCCTTAATTAGGCACCTATCTTATGTTTTACTGTGACCAGATATATACTTTTATATATGTTATAAGTTTGCTCATGTTCTCTCAAGCAGTATTGCACTTCCTCCACCCACATCCTTTTCAGACTTTCTAAGAATAGAACCTTGAGAACATAAGGTGTTCATTATTTTTAAATGTTAAACATCACCATCATTCCTGCTGATCCAAGGGCTATTTTTGAGAGTGTTGGCAGATATTTGATAAAAAACTTCATTTAAACCCCAAAGGTCTCATTTCATAGAGAATCTAATATGGTTATACTACCAAAATCTCAGAAAGCAACAAGCTTTGACAGAGTGTAACTTTAAGTTATTACAAAAATGAATAAGCAGAAATGAAAACATATGTCTGCACCAAAACACACACACAAATGTTCACTGTAGCTTTATTGATAATAGCCAAAATAATGAAAATATCCAAATGTTCAACAACTGATTTATGTGTAAAGAAAATGTGGCATCTCTATACAACAGAATATTATTTGCCATAAAAAAATGAAGTACTGATTTGTGCTACAGCAGAAACAAACCTTGAATACATGCTAAGTGAAAGAAGCCAGATACACAAAGCCATGTAATGAATGATTTCATTTATAGGAAATGCTCTGAATTGAAAAATCTATAGAGAAAGTAGATTATTGATAACCTAGGGCTTGCGGGGGTGTGGAGGGGCATAAGAATATTGAAGGGTGAAGGCTAAAGGGAACATAATTTGTCCAAACCCATAGAATGTAGTACATCAAGAGTGAACCTATTTTAACTATGGGCTTTGGGTGATAATGATGTGTCCATGTGGGTTTGTCGATTCTAAAAATGTCCACTTGGTGGAGGATACTGATAGTTGGAAAGCTTGTGCCTGTATGTGGAGGGGGCATATAGGACTGTGTACTTCCTGCTAAATTTTCCTATGAAGCTAAAGTGCTCTGAGCAATAAAGTCTAAACCACAAGAACAACAACAAAACAAATGAAGCCTAATAGGAGGAGGAAGGAGAAGGGAAAGGGGAACACAACCTCACAAGGCCCATGTCACTTGGCGCCAACTCTGAAGTTTTAAAACCCTGATATCCACTATGTCTGGCAAAATAATTATTGCTCCTTTTCCCTATGTTTGCATTGTGTTCTTATTCCTACTTATTTTACAACTCCTATCACTTTATTATAGTTATATGCAGTTCTCGTAGGAAAGGATTATATTTACAGGGCCCCCAAACATAATCAGGGGAGGATGCTCAAGACTGAATCTGCCCTGAGGTCTGACCCTCTGAGGTCCCACCCTATCACCAAAGGACTAAGAAAAAAGACCAATAGCTTAGCACAATGTAATCTATTTCGATCTTTGGGCGTGTTATAGGCTGAATGCGTCCCACCCAAAGTTCATAGGTTGAAACCTTAACCCCACTGTGATGGTATTAGAAGATGGGGCCTTTGGGAAGTGATTAGGTCAGGGGTCCTCAAACTTTTTAAACGGGGCCAGTTCACTGTCCCTCAGACTGTTGGAGGGGACTATAGTTTGCCCTTTATCTGGCAGCCTATGAAAAGGTAGACCTGGAAGATGATTTCATTGGTGACTTCTGTGGGCTCCTGGAGAGTTCTGTTCTTCTGATGACCCAACAAGATAGATATTCTAAGTCAGGGGTCCTGAAACTTTTTAAACAGGGGGCCAGTTCACTGTCCCTCAGACCGTTGGAGGGCCGGACTATAGTTTAAAAAAAAACTATGAACAAATTCCTATGCACCCTGCACATATCTTATTTTGAAGTAAAAAAACAAAACGGGAACAAATACAATATTTGTATTTGCATGTGGCCCGCGGGCCGTAGTTTGAGGACCCCTGGATTAGGTCATTAGGATGGAGCCCTTATTAATGAGATTTGTGCCCTTAGGAAAGAGAGCTCCCTCACTATGTTTTTCTTTAAAATTTTTTTTCTTTCTTTCTTTCTTTTTTTTTTTAAGAAGTCTTATTCCATTTTGAGGGTAACAAAGATGTGAGGGGATATATGTTATTCATGTTTGCAAAGCATATTACAGTGATGTTTAGCAAATACCAGGGCTCAAAAATGTGATGCATTGATTAGAATATCAAATAATCATGCATTAATAGCAGTAAGTTCCTTACTTAATTAACCCTTAGTAAAAGGGATTAGATGATTATTATTCCCATGTTAAAAAATGTATAGAAAGTGTTGTAAAAAAAATAAGCAACCATAAAAAATATCTTTGATTCATCAAATCTATCAGTAACCTTTTCTCATGCTTTGCCTTAGGTATTGGTGAATGCGGCGTATCAGAACCCCGCCTGGTGTTGACTTCAAACTGGACTGGTACATGGCTATTTATGTGTCTCCCAAACACAAGAACATCTGACGAAACTCGTTAAACCACAGCACTGTAATATATTGTACATGATATAATGCAGCGGTTCTCAACCTGTGGGTCGCGACCCCTTTGGTGGTCAAACGACCCTTTCACAGGGGTCGCCTAAGACCATCCTACATATCAGATATTTACATGACGATTCATAACAGTAGCAACATTACAATTATGAAGTAGCAACGAAAATAATTTTATGGTTGGGGGTCACAACATGAGGAACTGTATTTAAAGGGCCAGAAGGTTGAGAACGACTGAAATAATGAATGGAATATAACACATTTCATTACGTAGTATCATATACATAATAATATGTTATGCTGTGTGCTGAGGGCATTCGGGAGACGCTGTAGCGCGGGCTAACTGAAGGAGGTCGATGATAGTGAAAAAGGGGAGGTGAGGCGGGTTCGAGGTAAACCATCGAATACTGGAAGAAATGCAGCTCCGCAGTTGTAGCAGCATTCCAACAAAATCAAACAAAATCACCAAAAGTGTTCTCGTAACAACCAGGGCGAGATGGGTCTTGTTCCGTCAGGTATGTGGAACTGAGAAAAACCTTACCTCCTGCCTCTCGTTGGGACCAGCGCGGTCTCCTCTTGAGCCCCATCTCTCTCCGGGCTCAGGCCCAGGCGGGCCCACTCGCCCTAGGCCTGCACTTCCGCCGGAACCCTGGAGGCTTTTCCCGCCAGCGCCCGGGTTTCCGCCTCTGCCCACCCCCACCCCCGCTCCCGCAGGCAGGCAGGACTGCGCATGTGCAGGGCCCTGCAGGGCTAACAGGCCCCGAGGCTCCAGGGGCAGTGGGCCCTGGGGGAGATGGAAGCGAGTCTGTTGCACCAGTTCCCGTTGCTTCTGCCCCAGAACCGAGCGAAAACCGCGTAGGAAGGATTCATTACTGCTCAGGTGCTGCCCGGCTGCCCTCTCGCTGAGAGAGCCGCCCTCTCTTGGCGCAGGGCCACCCCTTGAGTCTGTGACTCTAGGGGGTGAGGAGCCCTGACTTATGGACCAAAAATTTTTTTGGAACAGATTTTAGAGAGAGGGAGGGAGGGTGGGAGAGAGAAACATCAATTGGTTGCTTCCCTTACACGCCCCCACCAGGGATGGGGCCTGCAACATAGGTAAGTGCTCTGACCAGGAATCAAACCCACAACACTTTGGTGTATGGATGACGCTCCAGCCACCTGGCCAGTGCGGGCGAAGACTGGCGTTTGCAGCTGTTAGGAGACTGATGTAGATGGCAGGGGCTGCCTATTTTAGAGAGAGTACAAAGAAGTAGGGTCAAAATAAAAAGTAAAAGATTGAAATAAAGAGAGAAAACACTTTAAAATACTGGATTGGTTTGTCAAATGTTTGTGTGTGTGTGTGTGTGTGTGTGTGTATGTGTGTGTGTGTGTGTAGCATATCCTGAAAGTGTTTACATAGTTTAAGCGTCACTAATTTCAGAGACATAAGTGCCACAGGTTTACTCCCAAGATCATTTGAATGTTTAATTATTTACATTTATTTTATACTCATTTTGGTTTTGTGAATGTTGAATAATGAATTATTATTTTAATTATTTGAATCAGCCCCTCTTCTCGAAGACAGTAAAAGCTAACTGAAACAAAAGTCTAAAATTTGCTTTTCAAAATTCAGAAAACTGAGTATTAAAGAACGTTAAGTTCTATGTCTGGGTTCGTGTAAGGCAAACCATTCTATAGGAAAGACAGATTTGAGGACATACATGTTCCTGAGTGTAAATGTCTGGGTACAAGCAAAAATTCCATTTATTTTTTTCAGGCTTTCAAAGTAGTGGGCTTGGTGAGTCCCACGCCAAGGTCTCCAAACAGTATTGGAGTGCCCAGGTAATATCTGGGTTACCCATGGAACAAAGAGAACATTAAATATATGATGTCAGGTGGGTTAAAAAATTAGGTAGGCAGCCCTGGCCAGTGTGGCTGTTGGTCATGAGTTTAATTCCAGCTTGGGGCACATGCCTAGGTTGTGGGCATGATACCCATCCCAGTTGGGGTGTGGGAGGCAGATGGTCAGTGTTTCTCTCTTACACAGATGTTTCTTTCTTCCTCTCTCTCTCCCTCCCTCCCTCTCCCTCCCTCCCCCCTTCCTCTCTCTAAAAATCAATGAACATGTCTTCAAGTAAGGATTAAAAAAAAAAAAAGAATGGCTGAGTAGGGCAGAGGGACCTAGAGAAAAATGATGGTGGGCTAGTACAGGGAGAGGCTATGGACACACCCTCTTGAAGGTATACCCTTGCCTACCCTAACAAACCCTTTGTGACTCCTCAGTGCTCTGTGATGCAGGCCTGACAATAAAGTCAAGATTCTGCATTCTCAGAGCTCAGTTGCCTCAGACAGCATTGCCATTCAGAAAATGACTTTCAGCCTCTTTCTGAAAAGCTTCCTAGAGCTTTATCTGAGCTTCTGCTTGGAACCTTTAGATTGTTACTGCACCCTAACTTGACTTTGTGTGTTGTGGTTGCTCTTCCTCTTCTGTTTCTTGGTTAAAGTTCTACTGACCTCACGAACCTTCTGTGAAAATGAACACACACAAAAGGTAAGGAACCCTACACAAGCCCCAACAGAGATTCTTTACCTTTGTTTCCATTGCTAGTCTCACATTTATAAATGAGTTTAGTTGGGAACATCACTCTACTAGGAGAAGAGACCAGGCAGCGCTAAGGGTTCAGGAAGGACTCAGGTTACCATCTGAAGCTCACAGACTATCTGGGTATAAACCTGGGTATAAAGGCAAATTCCTCCATAAAGTCCCAAACAATGATTTCTTGGCCCTGGATTGAGTTATTTTGAGAGTTTGGGATCTCCACAGAAGAACCAAATTGCCTAGCACTTCATCATGAGTCAAATTCCCATATCAGGCCTCACTTGAAAAGCCTTCCCTTGTGTTGGGCTAATCAGGAGAGCAGTGCTGAGCTGCTGAGAGGCACTGTGTAGAAGCTAGAACCTTTTCTCTCTGAGGGAACAGAGATGCAACTGTTGGCCTCTGATTCTATGCCCTTCTTGAGCAGAGTACCTTTGAGAATATCAAGTGTGGACCTCATAGACACACTACTACTTTGAATTTTTAAGCTATAGGAATAAAAGGAAGCAACATGAGGTCCTCATAATTAAAACTGAGTTATATTATTCTTGGATTATGAATGTCTGAGTTTCCTAAGGGGAGAAGTGAGAGAAATGATTCTCTTCTTTTTATAGTGTCAGAGCAGAGCCAAGAGGAGAAGGAAAAGTGGGACACAGGAAGGTAAGCTTCTGCCTATTCCCCAAGGTTTTGTCTCTCCATGATCATTGAGGTTGTCAGTTGCTAAATACAATCCCACCCAGGAAACAGAGCCCTCAGAGGAGGCTCTTGGGAAGACAGTCTGAACCTGAGATACGTCTCAGAGTCCCTGCTCTGCTGTCCCTGGGTATGAAGCAATTGATGGGTATTGCCCAGTAGGTGTCAGAGGAGGCTCTTGGGAAGACAGTCTGAACCTGAGATACCTCTCAGAGTCCCTGCTCTGCTGTCCCTGGGTATGAAGAAATGATGGGTATTGCCCAGTAGGTGTCAGGAGGCAGCACTTCTGTCTCCTGACTTTGTGAAAGTACTTTGACTTCAGGATGATCAGATTCCTCTTTGATGTAACTACTGACCTCTCTGCTTCACACAGTGGTTTTCAGCATCAAATGAGATAATGTATGTAAAAATACTTATTAAATGAGGCAACACACCTACAGGAACCATTTTAATATTATAATTGACCATTTGACCTCATCTACTAATTATTGGGGCTTTCAGAGTTTAATATCCCAATGATCCCCCATAAAAGGACTCTTCTGTAATACCTGTGCTTCTACCTTTATCACATACAACCCACTGTCCTGGTTTCCCAGATTGCAGATACTACCAGAGGGAAGAGGAGGAGAAAAAGATGCTGATTTCTATCCTTAAAAGGTGACTAGTCTTTCCCCCTTTTTCCTGATCCCTCTTTAGCATGTTCTATACAATTTCAGGGATTCAGTGCAGCCTTCCATAGTCGTGGGATGGGGTTGCCACCAGAACGGGGAATGTGAGTGAAGGCCTTGGTGTGAGTGCTATTGAGTGCATTGTGAAGTCATGGATTTGGGGCAATATGAAAGGGCAGCAGGCTTCAGGTGCTCTTCCCACCCAATCAGGCCCGTAGGTCCTCCTTTCCTTGTTCTGGTTGGTCCTGGCTGCAGCTTTGTACCTCCTGTCTCCTGCAGCTGCTTGGGCCAGCATCATGATTCCATCCGTTTTCGTCAGCTGTTATGTCCAGATCCCTCCTGTGATGTGTGTAATAATGCAACCCCTGAGATGGATCAGCTGCTGTCCTCATTGGCCCTGGAAGATGCTACTCTCTCTGTGTCCCCTTCAGCTTCCACAGCTCCTGTGACCGAGCCAATGTTCACTCTGTCCCCTGGTTCCAACCCCAGGTTCATATTCAATACCCACTCCCAGTCCTACCATTCAGTCCTATACCCTAGATTAGGGTCTGTGGAGTGTATTTCCAGAATGAATCAGACTGTCTCACCTCATCTGAAATTCAACAGCTGGAATGGAATGTGTTGTAGAAGCAACATGAAAGTTTGTGGGGTTTACCTACTGTGGTGCAAAGATCTCAGGAAGAATTTTATTCCTCAGCTCCCAACTCTCCTCTAAGGCCCATGTTTAATCTCCATTCTTCCTGTTGTGTTTCTTCTCAGCAGTGAATTTAGGGAGAAACGAAAACGTCACTTTGGGAAGAGGCTCTTCCAACACCAGTGGGGCCTGCTCTGCAGGATCCATGTGTCTCTGTCACTGATGAGGCCTCTGAGAGTTTGCTCAGAGATATCTGTGTCAAAGAGCAGATATTGCCTCTCATGCATCTCCATGAATAAGGGTCAAAGTAGCAACCATCTAAATGTTGGATTGAGCCAACCAGGGTTTCTGTGAAAGGGGCTCAGAAATGTTCAGCCAGAGCAGAATGAGGGGGAACACAGCCCAGAGAATGGCCCCAAAAGATGCTCTGTTGAGTGACTAGAGAGCTCTTCTAATAAGGATTTGGGGTATGACTCTGAGAAACAGCTACATAATGAGTCTGACAAGAGCAAATTCAATGGTGTCCAGTCAAAGTGTAAGTCAGAGAGAACCAGAAAAATGCCCTGAAAGAACCTGAGCAAGAACTTTGAGGAAATCAATGAGGGTCGGCTCCCTGTGACTGTGCATAGTTCATGGCATGTTATCCAGCAGACATTTTCTGTGCAATCCCACACCGAAATAAAACAGAGAAGTTTGGTACCATGAGTGGGAAGGGAAAACTGCCTGAACACGTGCCAGGAGCTTTCCTTCCTTGAGTCCAGTGCTGGAAGCCCATATTACCAAGTTTCATTTGAGGAGGATGTGGGGCCTTCCTACCAATGTCCTTGAACCTAGGGAGAGCATTAAATTGAAGTATACTCCCTCCCATTTCTTGCTTGATTCCAAAACTTCCTCCTCAACCAACCTGATCTGAGGTGGATTCCAAATCTGGGGGCTTCACATCCCTTCAAGGAAGCTCTAAAACCCTGAATCATTTCGCCCTGCCACCTCACTTGTGGGCAAGAAAGGACAGGGGACCCTGAGACAATCACCCTCATCATCCATGGCTGGCAGAGGAGGTCTAGAGAATTCAGGATGCTGGACAGACTCTCCTGCCTGTCACAAACAGTATCATTGGCAAAGCAAGTCAGAGACATTCTCCAAGAGGCAAAATTCGCGCCCTCAAGACTGCCCACAAGGGAAAACTGGGCTGGACATAAGCCCTAAAAGACCAGAGAATGAATTCCAGTCAGGGCAAAGAGATGAAGAAATCAGAACCAGTCTCCATATCCAATGTGTCCAGGGCTGAGGGGCTCACTGATCTTCAACCCAAAATGAGTGACATCTTGACAACCAGCAAGCTGGGAACCTCCCAAAGGGTAAATGTGAGAGTAAAGGAGTAAGTACTGTGACAACTGAAAGCCTCCCAGCAAAATTGTCAGTTCTCCAAGATCTTAAATCAGAAGACCCTCAGAAGCAACTACTTTCTGAGATAAAGTGGAAGCTGGAGAACAGGAAGCAGTGCCAGGCCCAAGGCCAACACACTCACATGTCCCATGCCTCAGACAGCTTGACTTACAAAGCCTCCCTGACTCATGCTCAGGGTGTCTCCAGTGTGGACAGGGCAGCTCCCCAGGTGCTGCATGTCCATTTGGGGAACACAGGAGTCAGTATGGAGCAGCCACAGGATCTGTGGGTCCCTAAGAATATCTCAAGGTTGTGCCAGGATAAGAATTTCCCACCTGCTGCAAAGGTGAGGCCCACAGGCTCCACATCAGAAGAGCTTGGTGGAGGGAATGCTGGGTTGGGCACATCCCAACCTGGAAGGAAGAGATTTCCAACTCAGGACCTGCCATTAAAGGAGAGGCTCAGGAGCAAGTCTCCCCAGAGCCCATCAGAGAAGGCACAGTCTCCTCCTGAAAGCCTGTTCAGAAATCAAATGAACCGGATTTTTCAATGGCTTTATCCTGAGATAAAATGCAAACAGCAAGAAAACTTCCAGGAAAAGGGCAGCCCCATATCATCTGCACAGAGCAGAGGCCCAGTTAAAAGTAGAGCAGACATTGGGGATTTCCTAGAGGAGAAACTGGGGCGTCAGCATGCAGTAGATATCACCTGCCCCCAAGATGCCCCAAAGCTCAGCAGTGTGGGCTCAGGCAGAGCCTGTCCAGGGGCGTCTTTTTAATTCCAGGGCTCTCTCCTGTAAAGTGACAAATACCAAGTCCTGTGGCCAAGAAGCTGTCTGCAGAGAAAGTTCTGGCATTAAAGGACCAGCTATTATGTCAGAAGCACCCCTAATTTGTGCCCTGCAGGGACCATCCTTGCCTGACCTGCAGACCTCCAGCTGCCCAGGGGTCTCCTGTTGCTCTTACCACTGCTGAAGGCCCTGTGTTCAGAGATCCGTCTCTAATATGTAGACAGGAAACCATTCTGCAGAATTTCCATGGGAAAAAAATTCCCACCACAAAATAATTCCTTCCTTGTGAAGAATATTGATTTTCCCTAATAAATGTTTCACTAATAAAGTGATGCCTTTTCTGTATACCCAGTTGGAGGCATGGGTTTGGGGTACCTCAGAGCTTGTGCTTAAGGAAAGAAAGAAGTTAGTTCAGCTCTTACTGTTTGCTTCCTTTGGCTCCAAAAGTGACCTGCTTCCTGGAGCTCTTGTTGAAAAATAGATATCATACGCCTTGTCCTCCCCACCCCACCCCCCAAACCCTCCACCCTCTACTGCCCCAGCTCATATCCTCCCTGATGAAGTTTGAGAAGATGGGCGGTGTCTCCTATCTTTTAGTTTAGCGTTAGTAAACATATATACCTTTCCTCTCATGCTTTCATGGAATGCTTAATATCCTTTCAAACTGCACAGAATACAGGCCTCTGTATCTGAAAGTCAAGGTCAGGTATATTTTTCAGAGAATATCAGTGAAGAAGAGACAGTGCCTTAAGCATTATTTAGAAGTTAGTGATAAGAGAATCCCACAGGTGGGTGAACCCTCAATGGGAATGTTTGGGGGATATGGCTGCAGTGGATCCTGGGCTGGTTGGGGTTAGGGTCTAGGGACAGCACAGATCTGCTTAAAGATCTGTCTCATGGGTCATGTTAATGTGTTGGGGAAGTGACATTGAAGTTAACCTACTGGAAAGTCACTGTGGGGAAGGGGTTCCTGCCCCTGGTTGTTTCTTAGGTTGTAGGATTGATGCCATATTTTTGCAGTGATCCAAGAGCATCACTCTGCTGTCAGAACACTGAATAGGCAGTAACTACCTCCCAGAGTAAAATAAAGATGAAAGTAAGGAAGAGATGCCTTAGAGCAGTGGTTCTCAACCTTCCTAATGCCATGACCCTTTAATACAGTTCCTCATGTTGTGGTGACCCCCAATTTCATTGTTACAAATTGAACATAATTAAAGCATAGTGATTAATCACAAAAACAATTTGTAATTATATATGTGGTTTTTGATGGTCTTAGGCGACCCCTGTGAAAGGGTCGTTCGACCCTCAAAGGGGTCTCGACCCACAGGTTGAGAACCGCTGCCTTAGAGTGAGTGGGAAAGTACAAACAAATGCAGAGGGGAAAGAGTGACCTTACTGTTGGAACAAAGGTTTATGCCTCATCATTCCCATACTGTGACTCTGTCTTGTTCCCAGCTTCCTCAATCTGATTCAAGCGCTACCTGATTGAGGCTGATCAGAGCACTGCACAGCCTACTGATGCCTCACACCAAAAAGGCATGGGGCTGTTCCTTGGGCACTAAAACAATATTTACAGGGATGTTATCAGGCATGGCATCCCTGTCTTTGAGGAAGGTGATCTTGGTGCCTCCCTTCCATCCATGCTTGATGGAAATATGCAAGATCTTGCCCTTAGCTAATACATTTCACCTACCAGGATGGAGGTGCCATCTTTAATATTTGTGGTCTTGGTGGAGTTATAATCTCCCCAGAACATCTGCAGCTCATGAACCAGAGGTGAGATCTAGACTATGCACCAGGGTTACAGATGTTTGAGGGGGCTCATCATGGACCTTCATGGAATGCTTCCTTTCGGCCAAACCTGCACACATACCCACCCTTATCATAAGGGTCTGGAGGGCAAAGAACCCCATTTGTACAGACTGAAATACAAAAATGGGATGCGTGTCCTAGTGCAGTGATGGCGAACCTATGACACGCGTGTCAGAGGTGACACGCAAACTCATTTTTTTGGTTGATTTTTCTTTGTTAAATGGCATTTAAATATATAAAATAAATATCAAAAATATAAGTCTTTGTTTTACTGTGGTTGCAAATATCAAAAAATTTCTATATGTGACACGGTACCAGAGTTAAGTTAGGGTTTTTCAAAATGCTGTCACGCCGAGCTCAAAAGGTTCTCCATCACTGTCCTAGTGAGTACTTCAGGTAGTTTTTCCAGTAAGCCTGGTGAATCCTGGGTGCAAACAAGTAAAACAAAACAAAAAAACAGATGTTGACTATAGCCCCCTCTCACTACCACACTTGTATCTTCTTGTTCAGAGTTATGCCATTGACGCTACAAGGTCACAGAAAATAATGCAGATTTTGTGGAAGCCCTGGGAGGGACCCAAGGTGGGATGGGGCCCAAGGCAGGGAACTTGAAGAGGTGAGCAGGCAGTGGAGGGCTCTAACATCCATATGGACCGAGGAGCCAGTAACTCAGCCTCCAGTTCCTTCATCATCTCATCCTAGGGTCTTCACTTCCACTACAGTACACTTTCTTCCACAGTATAGATAGAGCTTATTACCAGGAACACCTCTGCCATCTGGACTAGTACAGTCTAACCTTCCACCGTTTGACCTTAAACCCCTATCCTTCCAGTTTATATGCCCCTTATTAAATTTTCATTTTTACACATCACTCATTTTTCCACTTCTTATCAATCCACCAAGCTCTTTCTTGCCTTCCTTCCTCACAAAGGTAGACTTGATGGCCTATTGGGCAACCAACATTTAAAAAGTTCCACTACAAATTGGCCCTTTCAAATTCCCTTTAATCCTTCCTGTCTGGCAATATTTCAACTATGTGTTTTTCCAGAAATGCCTTTCTAACTGATCACTATTGAATTAAATCTCACAGTTGGTTCTATTGGTGCCCCAGAACTATCTGGAAATCATTCATTTATTCCACAAATAATTATTCCATGCTTACCAACAGGTGGACAAAACAAATGGAGCTTAGGTCCCTGTTTCCTTAGTCTGTTCTCTCTCCAAAGCTACTCAAATCTCTTTCACTTTCCTCAAGCTGAGACCATCTCCACTGGCTCAATTGATGTGCTGGACCACTGTTCACAGAGGATCTAGAAGTCTTCAGATGGGAACTTTTCAACAAAACACTTTCACATTCTTCCTTTCCTTTTCTCTTTTTGTTATATGGAGAGAGCTTTCCTTCCAAACCTCAAAGGAATGACACTTCCTGAAATCACCCTATTGAGGGAGAGCTAAATTCTAGTCTTGATGGACTGATGCACCCTTGGCAGGTTTTGCTCCTCCTCCTTCTATGAGGCCCCTAACATCTTTTTTTTTTAAAGCTTGTTGTTACAGAAATATACAAACATGCACAAGAGCAGATAGAATAGTATATCTTCCCATATACTCTCACCCAATGTTCACAATTATTATTTGGCATATGTATTAAAACCAATTTTTACATTATGATTAAAGTACAAAAGTCCACTGAAACATCTTGCCATCCACCTCTCAGGCTTATGCTATGTACCAATGATGTGTATCAAAACTCTCATATTTCTTAGATATTTATCATATGTGGAACACACGTATGCCCCACAGATATAAATAGCCTTGGTAAGGAAAAAGCATTGAGTTTGAAAGGCTTGGGTGATCAGTTCTGCTCTTTTAGTCAACCCTGAGGAGTCATTTGAGTGAGTTCTCTCAACTCTACGCAAGAAGTAATCTTACAGAGTAAACCCAGTGCACAATATTGCTGTTCCTTAATCACACAGGAACTATATTAACATGCTAAATATATAGAAGTAGAAAACTATAGAATTGGCATCACTATATGTTTTCAAATATTTAGAAAATGTTTTTCCTCTCATACATGAAAATGACTTAAACTCAGTAGATCAGACACTTGTTTACCTCTTTTTCTTCCCCAAATGTCACTAAAAGATTAGATGAAAAGATGCTCAACATCATTAGCTATCAGAAAAATGCAAATCAAAAACACTATGAGATAGCACTACAGAGAGAGAGAGAGAGAGAGAGAGAGAGAGAGAGAGAGAGAGAGAGAATATCAAAAAGTCAGATAAGTGTTGCAGAGAATATCGAGAATGTGGCACCCTCAGACACTGTTGATGAGAATAAAAAATGATACAGTCACTTTGGAAAACAGTCTGGCACTTGCTCAAAATCTTTTTTTCCCTACTCAAAATGTTAAGCATAGAGTTACCATATGACCCAGCAATGTGACTAACATTTGGTTGAAATGTTTAAATATATCAATTAAATCCATCTAATCTAGTGTGTCATTTAAAAATCACTGTTTCCTTGTTGATTTTGTGTCTGGAAGATCTAGCCACTGATATCAATGGGGTGTTAAAGTCCCCTATGACTGTGTTACTGTTGATCTCTCCCTTTATGTCTGTCAATATTTGCTTTATATATTTAGGTGCTCCTACATTGGTTGTGTAAATCTTTAGATTTAAATCTTCATTTTTGAATTGACCTCTTTATCATTATGAAATATCCTTCTTTGTTTCTTTGTTTTAAAGTCTATTTTGTCTGATATAAGTATTGCTATCCCAGCTTTTTTTGGTTTCAATTTGCATGAAATATCTTTTCCCATCCCTTTTCTTGAAGTCTGTGTGTTTCATTTGATCTGAAGTGGATCTCTTAAAAAAAAACAAAA